GGAAGAGAAACTTAGACGGGCAGGCAGAGACAGATAAATAGAAAGATAGTGCTTGAGAGAAAGAGAGAGAGAGTGTGTGTGTGTGTGCTAGCCTCAGATAGCTTTATGTGCAATATGTTAAAACTTTGGCAAATTTCTTTATATGTGCTTTCATGTTATACCTGAAATAAAAATTAAGAGAGAGAGAGAGAGCGTTAGTGGTAGAGAGATAGAGAGGAGTAGAGAGAGAGAGAGAGAGAGAGAGAGAGAGAGAGAGAGAGAGAGAGAGAGAGAGAGAGAGAGAGAGAGAGAGAGAGAGATGTCCTGCGTCGTGCTAGGCAGACATAGGCACGGGCAATGGGTAGACTGGAGTGGTAGCCCGGGTGGGGGGGGGGGGAGCAGCGTCCGAGCAGGATCGTGACTTGCGGTGGTGTTTGCATGGGTCAGGGTAAGAAGTCATGAGCGAAGGGGGTGTGGCTAGGTCAGCACGCCGCCCTAATTGGTCACCCGCAGCAGTTAGGAGGCGTGACCTCGAAGGCATCTGTCCTCAGAGCCAAAAAATAAGTCAAGTCGAGATGTGTGTTAACGCATGTCATAACAGCAACATTTATTGTCCTGATAACGCGCCATTTTATCTTTCCTGCAGATAGGACCGATCTCGTCATTGCAGCGTTAACTCTAAGTCTGCTTGCAATGCCTTGTAGTATCATCCTTATCATAGGAGTCTGTAAGGTAGGAATTAGTTGGGCACCTGTTTTTTCTGACCGTTATTGTTTCATCCGCTTCGTCATGTAGAGAAACAGAAACCTGCATTGTCTTCGAAATATTATTAATAATTTTCACTACTATCAGTTCTAAGTAAGTGTTCTTTGGCGGGAAGTATAACGATCCAATATACCTTTCCCTTGTTTTACTTATTTTTCTCTTTCTCTCTTAGGAACGCCGTGTTTTGGTTCTCTCGTGGTTGTGCTTACTGGTTCTCCCAATAGCTCGCGATATAACGACCATCTTCTTCGCATTAGCGTCCACTGGAAATGGATTTTTAATTGGGCTCTTCCTCTTCGAAATCTGGTTCTACCTCCTCGGGTTCTTCGTGGTTCGTTCATACGGCTCGACGGTAAGTCTCGTGGATTCACTTCAATCTCGACTTTTCGCTTTACTGACCTTTTTGAAAATCGCATTTTCCTTCTTTCATTTCTTATCTTTTCTTTTTTGTATTTTCAGTTGGCCTTTTACAACAGCAGTCTGAACCAGACAACTTCCGTAAACTTCGGAGTGGACGGATCCAAGGTATAAGGTGGGAGGGACTCGGCTTTCCGGCGGCGTAGAACGGGAAGAACAAGAACAGTCAAAAGAAAGTCCTTCAGAGTGTACCGCAGTGTTCGATTTGTATATACGACTGATGGCGTTTTGTTATGCTAATACGCTTTTTGTGTATATGTATGTATGTTCGTGTTTACTTCTGTTTATGCGTATGTATGAATATTCACGCATTGTATGTGGTTAAGTACAAAATTATATATATAATATATATATATATATATATATATATATATATATATATATATATATATATATATATATATATATATATGTATGTATATATACATATACATATACATATATATATATATATATATATATATATATATATATATATATATATATATATATATATATGTATATATATGCACACACACACACACATATATGTATATATATGTATATAAAAATAGACAAATAAATATAAATAGATGAATAGATACACACGCACACACACACACACACACATGTATATACATCAATGACACATTAGTTTTACAACGGGTAATGAAAGGGGTCTTGACTTCTGGGCTTATAGAAGGTAGATGTGAGAGCCCCCTGCGACCCCCATGTCTCCGGGGTCGAGGCCGTGGTGGTGGAGAGCGAGACCTGCGTCTGTCGGCCGTCTCTCTCCGTCTAACGAAACGCGTCCTTTTATGCGGCGGCTCCCCGTACGGACAGGTGCTTGCTTCCGCCGCTGAAGTGTCAAGACTCCTGATTTGGTGTAAATAGATGGAATCAAACATTAGCTCATAAGATAATGGTATAAGGTTAACTAATAGTCTCGTTGTCTGTTGTTAACACTTTTTAAAAACTATTTTTTACATAAATCCAATATATGTGTGACAGTGAAGGCAGACCCCTTCGAAATTTTTGTAAAATAAAAATGTCTATCACAACCTTCGTTTTTTCTTTACAATGCAAGATGTATATGTGTTTTTGTGTGTGTGTGTATATGTGCATATATATATATACATATATACATATATATACATATTATATACATATATATATACAATATATATATATATATATATCTATCTATCTATCTATCTATCTATCTAATCTATATATATATATATATATATATATATATATAATATATAATATATATATAATATATAATATTATATATATATATATATATATATATATATATATATATATATATATATATATATATGTGGGTATATATAAT